TGTAGGCGCCAAAGAGTTTGCTGGGTGTGATGAACACTTACAATGCCGGAAGAAGTCCCGCAGTCTCTGCAACTCCGGTTGTGGCTCCGCAGTCATTCAATCTTTTGGTTTCGTTCCGTCCAACGCTTACCAAACGCGGAACGGAACAACCGTCCTATTCCGTCTTGCGCGTACCAAACATACGTAGAACCTCTGTCCCGTCTGCGTACCAAACGGTACCTTTAAGTCCCTAAACAAGTTCTCAAAAGTGATGGTAGGAGTCCCTATAAATAGGGACTCCCTTTGGAGATGCTCTAAGACCCACACATATGCATGCACGCCATCAACAATTGACTTCTAACCACTACTGTATGGACAGATTTTTCAGCGTATCAGGTATTAGGACACTTGCTGTATTGGGTCATGTTGCCATTGAAAAATTTCTGCTACTATCTAATATAGAGATGATGAAAAAATGACTTATATAACACTCGTACATCGCTATAGTAGGATTGTGTGCCAATTATATAAAAATATGTGTTAATTTTCTTAACGTATCTTTGTATTGTTGACATGGACGCCACTATAATTTTGTATTCGTGTCATTCCAATTCCTCTCAACAAGGCTGTCAACGTATGTAAAGGCAAATTTAATTTAATGTGGTCGACGATATATGTTCACAAGTTCTACTTGAACACTCTTCCTCGAATGGAAATTAAGTAGACGGCAGTTCCTGAGTACATCTCTTTCTCATTTTGCTTCTTTGCTGAAGCTTTTTTCTCTTTCTTTTGTTACCATACATGTCAAACTTTGATCTGAATAGACCTGTTGTTATTATACACGTCAAATTTTAACCTAAATATAACTGAACTAGAAAAAATTAAATCAGATACAAGATTGATAATAAGAATATATAGTCAATATTAACGAATCCATCAGCAGTCGTACTTGCTTCTCGAAATAGTTGGTAATAGTATTTCAAGCTTCGATCGTAAGTGTATGAAACATTTTCTAACTGTTACAAATCCGTATGAACCGTATGAGTTGATAATTCTTTCAACAACTTGAACTACAGACCTTCAATTCAGTTTTTGCTACAATATCTTAGCTGCTTGATATTGCTTTGTCCTAATATAAATCATCTAGACACAAGATTTTCCAAAAAAAAAAAATTACATTTAGATATACAAATTAAGAAAGAAAACTAGACTGATCGATGTCTGATAGGAGACCAAAAGAACTTTCAAAGTGTCTGGATGTAAATAGAATATATGGTGACTGCGAGTCGATTTAGAATATTAGGTGGCAGCACAAACGCGTGCACATGCAGAAGGATTACATTTGTTTCCAGGTGAAATAAATTGGGCAATGAGTATATATTGTCTTTTTGCCAATTGCCATAAAAGTTGTCGGTCTTGGTTGTTTGTTTCATGTTTTGTAAGTTGGAAGTTATTGTCAATCAATCTACCCTCTCCAAAAGTTTAAACCCTATGTGGTGATGTTGTTGGGAGTATTAGTTACGCACATCAATAAGGTCTCTGAAGAGGGACAACTTGTAAGTTGCAACAACAGATGAAATATAGAAGAGAAAAAAAGGCATGGGATATCATATATGTAAAACACGTAAGCATGCAATCTTTTTTTATTTTTTTATTTTTTTTATGGTACATACGGTAGAATTATCAGAGAGACAGGCTAAAGACCCACTTCTAAGAACACCAATACTGTCCCTAACTTGGTAATTACTACATGCACAATTCGTCAAGTGTAGGTTTTATTACAAAACGCCTCGTATTAATTGAAGTGGAGTTATGATATTTAAACTATTATTTCTCTTTTTCTTTGGCCGATGTGGGAATCAACATGCCTCTTCATGTGGAACCCAATTAGTGGGTCACACAAGGAAGTTCCACACATCGACAATCACGTGGAGCCAATGGAACTCACCCTTGCATGCGGTGCCAAGGGACCCACCATCATCCTAGCCAAGGGGACCCACCATCATCCTAGCCAAGGGGACCCACCTATCACGTGGTAGTACGATACGGGGCCATTCCCTAGCTCTAATATCATGTAGAATTATCAGAGAGACAGGCCAATGGTCCACTTCCAACAACACTGATAACGTCCCAAACTTGATAAATACCACCTGCACAATTCGTCAAGTGTGGGTTTTATCACAAAATGCCTCAGTATTAGTTGAATTGGGTTTAGGATATTTAAAATTTTCTTTTCTTAGAGATACGGTCGATTTGGGACATTTCAACACGCCCCCTCACGTGGGACCCAATTAGTGGGTCACACATAGGAGTACCACACATCGACAATCATGTGGAGCCAAGAGAACTCACCCCATACGCGGGGTCAAGGGACCCACCATCATCGATCAGGGCCCAGGGGACCCACCCATCATGTAGCAATTCCCCCCATCACGTAGCAGTACGGTACGGGTTCACTCCCTAGCTCTGATACCATGTAGAATTATCAGAGAGACGGGCCAAATGCTCACTTCCAAGAACAACGATAATGTCCCCAATTTGGTAATTACAATCTGCACAATTCGTTAGGTGTGAGATTTTATCACAAAATGCCTCGATATTAATTGAAGTGGGATAAGATATTTAAACTATTATTTCTCTTTTTCTATTGCCAATGTAGGATTCAACACGTGCCACTGAGTGATCCAAACAAATCAACTATTAGATCTTGTATTGGAATCTAGTAAATTTTTGCAACGGTTAGATCTTGCATAAAATATGTGTCACTGAGAGTGCTTTACAATCCAGACGAATAATCATGACCTCTAATTTACATAAGTTACAGGTAACAGGTGAGATATATTTAAAACATGGAAGCTTAAGATGGAAAAAAAAAAGTAAAAGAAGAATAAGAAGAAAAACATGAGATGTATTTAAAACATGGAAGCATGACCTATAAATGCAATTGGTTTTTAATTGGCATCATGGTAAATGTTGATAGAGATAGATTTGATATATAGAGGGGAAATGGTAGTATTCGAAGGGTATAATATTTCACTGGTAAATTAGTACATGTTATGCACTAGGATGCAGTTATTGTTGGACAAGAGAGGAAAATGTAGTGAGAGAAAACACTGGTAAACGATAGTGGTACAAAGATCCGAACCGAGGTTCTAGGCACCATCCCGTCCACAAGCAAAAATTTTCTTATGAAAAATTGGCTTTTCAGATGGGGACGGGTTCATGGACTAGATCTGGTCTCCAACATGAAGAAGAGGATATAGGTGAGGGCCTGATGTGTTGTAACAGAGGATGTGGGAAAGATGATATGTGGAGGACGAGAAGAGAAGATGGAGGGTAAGAAAAAAGGGCCTTTTGGAATCACACACTGAAAGAAAAAGGAAAAACGGAGGCATAAAATCAAATCAAGACATAGCTCAGAACAAAAATCACCCAAAAGGGGGGTTTAGGAAACATCCCGAAGAAAGAAGTGGGAGGAGAGGAAGGGTTGCCACCGACCCTAGGCCACAGCTAGGCCGATGGCTAGGGTTGGGATTCTGGGCGGCTAGGGTTGGAATTTTTGTTTTGTCTTGAGAGAAACTAGGAAGGGAAAACGCGTAAGAGCAACTCCAGCGGATGCTGGTTGCTCGGGCGACAGGGGAGGAGAAAGGGCCTGAGGGCCGGTGGGAGCAGCTCCAGCGGGGAAGGGCCCGAGTGAGGGTGGGAGCCCGAGCGAAGGGGGGGTGGGGAGTCGACGGGCCTGTGGCCCGAGGGCTTTGCAATTTTTTATTTTTTTTGTGTCAGAGAGAGACACAGAGAGAGAGAGAGAGAGAGAGAGAGGGAGGGGGTTTTTTATTATTTAAACAAACAAAAAAAACTATTATTTTAATTGCTTATTGCCAGGGGGAAGGGTTCCAAGGGTGGAGATGTAAATGGCAATTACTGTTCATTAATGGTAGTTACTATTCATTTAAGGCAGTTACTGTTTAATAGGGTGGATTGAATAGTGGATTGCCAGGGGAAGGGCTCTATGGGTGGAATTGCTCTAAGGGAGATTGTTTATCCCATACCCAATCTTCCACATTCTCATTACTTCTAATCCCCATCCATTTTGCCCCTTAAAATCCTTCTTTTGGATAGAAGTTTTAAAGGCGTTAGCAAAAAAGGATCATTGCTCCACATTATAACAGGTTTAGTGATCAATACTCACAGATTTTTAGTTTATAAACCAACGCTTCAATTGGAACAAAGTTCAAGGACTATTGCTCAAATTTTCTCTATATAAACTAAACAAAGGACTTATAGCCCAATTAAGGGTATTCACTTTTGCACTTTTTTTTAGTACATTTATATTTTTATACTAAGGGGAGGGGGAGTTCGGCTGAGCTGCACTATTGACAGCCTAATTTGATATCGAATTCGTCATCCACGAGATTCGAACCTAAGACCTCTCACTTCTAAGCGAAGAGAAATACTATCAGACTGTAGTACTGAGTGACATTCACTTTTGCACTTAGAAGTATCAAATTTGATTTCATTGTTCCCATCGTTGGTATAAAAAATAATAATAATAACAAGCTATGCAATTCGGTTTGATGGAAAAATAGGTAAATTGCAAAATTATTAGAGAAATGCTAAGGAAACTATCAAAGGTGGGAATCTCTATCGTCTCATGCTTTTAACACAATATTTTATAATGTTGCATAAAAATTAATGTTAAACTATAAGGTAACGTAAAGTTCACGGAGAATCTCCTTTGCATTTCTCAAATTATGAATTCACCTTTAATAGGCATAATAGTGACTTTAGCCTTTTTTTTATCGACAAAGAGGAATCTTTTTTTAAATGTTTTTTTAATTTTTTTATAAAACATCGATAGATTCAATTAATTAAAAGAGAGGTAACAAGGTAGTCTGTAACAAGGACTCCTCCAAAATCATATTTGAGATGAGGTTATGGGGTTCCTCAAACCAGTTACAATTAGATCTCACAAAATAAGAGCAAAACGTGCTAGACGATGAGCCACACTATTAGCTCGACGATTGACCATCAACATTTGACATGGACAGATGCAGGACCATTAGACCCCGCAGGCAATAAAGTCACTCGATTGAACTCCCGCTGCCACCAAGAAATGCAGCGGGAATAGATAATGTCAGGAGGTTCATTCGAGTCATTCCAAAGGCGATTGTGTCTTGCCCCTCAAATGGCCCATAAGATCTTCAAACAAATAGAAAAGTTTGAGGTCCCCATGCAGCGACAAGAGGATTTTGTTAATAAGAGTTGCATCTTTTCATCTTCGCATTCTTGAGGTCCCCATTGTACAAGTAGAGCGGCAAAAACCTCCAGGTTTTAACTCTACTGGCCTTATGTTTATGACGACGCTTACTGCTCAAACCAACTACTTCGACGGTGGTTAGCATAATCCTTCATATGAGATTATGTGATATGATCATAAAAAAAATTACCAAAACTGTGGTCAATGATGTGAAACATCTTAACCATATACAAGTTCACGCATCTACAAAGCACACGTATATAACATCAATTACAAAATTGTATCAGATTATTCGATATGTACACCTGAAAGAAATCATCTGACCCTTTCTTTCCGAGAGCGGGAAGCGTGAGCCTCTTCGATATATCGTGTGAGAAGTGAAATCCCGTAATGTGAGGCACTTGAGGTAGCATAATAGGATGTCACGGTGAGTTGAGCAAACTTTGGAAGTGCATAACCTGCAAAATCCAATATTAACAGAGAATTGGAAAACATGTATCCAAAACTTTAAAGAAAAGCTTAATTGCAAAATCCCTTTTTCCGCATTCTTAACTACCCTCAAATTACACATGCATCGTGGTCTACGTAGAGACATACTGATTTTTACAATATCCTAAGAACACCAAATGCGACTGAAACTAAGAACATCGGGTAAAAACTTCAGCTGAGTCTCAGATATTGAGGGAACATGGCTTAGTCTACTCTACATACACTTGCTAGAACCAAACAAATTGAGAATCACATCTATTTTTAAAATAAATTAGTCATCCCATGGCTGCTAAACAAGTGATCCGTTTAATCAAAATAAAAACGGAAGAGGAACAACAAACAGAAATGCAAAAGCATTTATCATGTTCCAAAAATAGACTTCTTTTAACCCAGTGGAGAAAGGCCGGATTTTTACCTCCAAATGCAGCACTGGCACCCGAAAACAGTAGCAGTGGAGGAAGCTATGATTTAGAAGAAAATAACAAATGTGAGCTTAATTGTTGAACATAAAAATATAAATCTCTGATGATAAATGCCAATAAGTGCATTGCAGGATAAAAGGTGAATAACAAGAAGAAGAGATGTACCCCAACTAAGAAAGGAAGCCACTTTGGTCCCTTCAAGCGACTCTGAAGGTACGGGATCCCTGCAATCAAGTAACACTAAGAAATCTGCATATGAAAGCATATACTTTGTAAAGACAAAGGGAAACGTACATACCTGTATTAAAGCTATGGATTGCACTAAGCATTCCTCCAATACCTGAGCCAGCCTATTCATACAAACAATAATGGAGAGGTTTAATCACTCGTATATCAAGCTACGTCCAAATCATTATCATAAACATACACTCAAACATGATCTTTGTACATGCAGCTCCACCCTAACAACGCAACTGATATTGGGTTATATAATCTATCATATGAATCAACAATTAACAGGAGATTTATACCCAATCTTCAAGTTTGACAGCATTTTGTGATGCAGATTATATGAAACAAATTCGGAACTAACAACAACCAATTACATAATAACTAACAAAGAATCATTGTTAAGATCAAACAGTTCAATACCTAAATGATGTAAACATACACGCAAACATGATCCTCATACATACACCTAGACCAATAACGCTAACAACGCAACTGAAGTTGGGTTCTACTTCTACCAGATGAACCAACTATAAGCAAGTGGATTCATGCCCAATTCTTCAAGAATTTTGGCCCCTCACAGAGAGATAAAGTCGATATCAACAATATTTAAAATTCACAACAAAACCCAATTGCTACACAAAGAAATAAACTTGAGCTCAAATGGGTAGCTGAAAAAGAGAGAAACTTACAACAGCAGTGGCATCGTGAAGAACAGGGGTGATGGTCCATTCTCCTTTTTCCTGAACAGCAAACAAAATAGATTCAAATCAATTTCCAACTGTAAAATCCATTAAATCAAATCACCAAAAGAGTTAGGTTATGGGGGTTTGTACGGAATAGCGGTCGAGGAGAGAGAGGCAACGAGGGCAGCGAGGGGTGCCGAGGCCCGGATTCATGGTGGGATCGTGGTGCAGGTTCCCGCTCCTCAGCTTCTGTTCGTATACCTCTCGAGTCCCCATCGTCGGATTCTGACAAAAATGCTACCAATTTCAGAGAAATCGGCTGACGGAGGCGATGGTAACTCACTTGGCGGAAACGACGGCAGCCATGGAGGAGATGAATCACCGGAGAGGGGGGATGTGAAAAGATCGGGTGGGAGCGATGGAGGAGAAGACGATGATGATGCGTGTGCCCTAACCTTGCTTTTGAAATTTTTGGTGCGACGGCAGCGTTTTAGTCGATGGGCTACGGTTGTCATCGTTGAGTGGGCAAAATATCACACGGGTTGGGCTCGGTTATAATTTTAGGCCACGCAAAAACCCTCATCACCTACCGTCCAAAAAAATTAAGAAAAATTAATGAAAGTTCAAAAAAAAAAATTAATTTTAATAAAAAATGATAAATAAATATGTAGTGAATAATATCGGAGAAAATAAAAATATGGTTTTTCGTTAAAAATAAACAGTATCAGAAATGTTTCGTTAAAACTCCAAAAAATAATGATCATTTATCATCAGGTTTAATATTAAAAGTTGGATCCTTGGAGCAATTTTTTTGGGACCCTCTAGACCAAACAATTTTAAACCGTTCACCCATGCTGTCTCCCATGACGCGTTTGGCTCGCTCACCCTTCTTAAAAAGCCTCAATGAAATCTTTTAATGTTTTCTTTGCTTTCCCAATATATGGAGAATTGGATTTTGCTTAGAAGAAAAAAAAAAGAGATAAGTAGAGGCCTAAAGCTTCATACCAATCCATGGTCGTGTTCACCATAGAGATGCAGATCTGATCAAGGTGGTGAGAGGAGAAGGAGATCGGGACAAAGGGAGAGAATAGCTGTTGGGAAATTTTGACGTGTTTCTTTTGCTCCAGAGAGAGGATATGCGTCCTTCAAAGTTTATATTAGATGAATGTGTTTTTATATTTTCATATTAATCTTTGATATTAAATGTATATATAGATGACTGCATCATTGGTTATTAAGTGACAAGAAAACATGACTTATGCATAAAATACATGCTCATAATGCAAGCCGCTTCAACTTTTAATACTATTTCATAACTGAAAAAAGTTGAAGTTCCACCATAAAACTAATTGACAATATAGACAATAGCTTAATTAATTACTTATAAACACATGCAAGATCCTTTCTTTTTTCGATGTCAGATTAACTCTCAACACGACCCTCATGTGTGGCAAACTTTAAAGCCTAGCACATGGTCAATCCAATGACGTGGACCATATGAGACAACCTGCTCCAATACCATGGAGAAAGTTGAGGTTTTCCCATAAAATTAATTGACAATATAGGAAGTAGCTCAACTTATAAATACATGCAAGATCCCTTATTTCTCCAATGTGGGATTAACTCTCAATAATAACTTATAATTATAACAAAAAGGCTCAAAAGACTTAACCAACTAACTTAGCTCACATCAATTTTAATTATATTTTGTTAGGATAGATCAAACTATTCCTTAAAACTTGATGGGCTTACTCTAAATTATTACAGCCCACCACCTTATGTTTTTTTTTTTGTCTTTAAGGCCAGAAGCCCAACACCTCATCTTAAGGAAACAACTCAGATTTCTTAAAGTAGCTTTGAGATATAGGTGAACTCGTTTCATACAAGTTTCCGCATCGCCCCACACACAGTTCGCCACATACACACAAAAGTAAGAAAGAAAAAAGAAGCAAAGCTTGTGAAAGAAAGAAACAGGTGTGGTCATATTAAAAAAGCCTCCAGAATGGACCCTAACAATAAAAACGGAACCTTTTGCGACACTATCATTCTCCATGCGCTTTTTTACTACTATCCTTCCACCCAAACACACAAATCCCACAAAACACAAATGCCACCAGCGAAAATTCCACAACACAAACAAAAGAACCCCAATTTTTTGACTTACGAAAAGGTACTGCATCTCTGAATGCCATTGCCATTGCCATTGCCATTGCAGAGCACACAAAAAAACCTCAAAAATTACCAACCCAAGAACATAGGAACCGTAATTTGCACGAGTCCCCAGGTTGTTACCTCAAAGATTGATACTTTCTCCTCGTTTTTGAATTATCTCCATCTGGGTGTGTCGGAAGTTGTTGGAATTGAGGAATGGAGGGCGAGAAATACGGTGAGGAGCTGGATGTGGCGGTGAGAGTGGTTCACATGGCGTGCGCTCTGTGTCAGAGGCTGCAGGAGGGTTTGGTGTCAGGTGGCAGTGGCCTCGTTAAGTCCAAGGACGATGATTCTCCTGTGACTGTCGCAGGTACTATGAATTGAAAGTTCGTTATCTGGTTATCTTTCCTTTGATTTCGGAGGTTTTTGGTGGTGGGATTGTTAAAGTTTTTGGCGTCGAGAGAAATGGATTTGAGAAATCTTCTGCTGTTTATCTGTTTGTGTGTTCCTTAATTTTGGCAAACTAGTGCAATGTAGTACCTTTGCTAGATAGTGTTAAGGTTGAATCAATCGCTGCGGGTTCCGCGATACGGGGTCATGTATTTAGTAGCTCTTGAATTGGTTTGCCTTTTAGTTAAGTTGATAATGATACTCTATCTATGTTTACAAGTTACGATGAGCAAATTTTCGAAATATCAGGACAACGCAAGTTTTATTTTTAAGGATTATATATATAGGTCCTTGATGTATTTAGGTACTTGATATTAGGTGCATTGTCTTAGAGGTTTTTTTGCATCGTTATGGAGTAGGTTTTTCGCTTAGTGTGGGACGGACCAGAATCTTCTTATTCAAGCCCTATTTAAGTAAGAGGGATTGACCAGTAGATGAACTTTGCTGGGGAAGAGTCTGATGGTATGTTCTTGAAATGCAAAAGATAGTTATGAGAGCATTTAGTACATGGAGCATGATTTCTGTCGGCTAATTAGTACACATTTGTCTTTTAAAGTTAATACGGGGATGGGGGTGGAGTATTTTTCAAGTACAACTTATAGATTGTGTAAGAGCATTATGTGAAAACACAATTATCATCTTTTATAGAAATGCAGGGGAACACCTGTTTAGTTTCTTTTGTGTCTTGCATAAAATTTGAAATATCTCGTTTCATTGTCCGAAGAATGGTTACTTTCTTCTAGTAGATGATAGTACCAATTTGAGGCTAAGATAACCTTTTAGCTGCTACCACACTATCAAGAAAATTAAGGCCTACAACATAGTTTGTTGGTAGGCGATATGTTGCTTATCGTTGTTAAGCTTAATAAAACACGTATGAGCCACAGAAGTTTACGTCCTTCATTATATGATCATAGTTGGAGAATGTATAAGCTTCAGATAAGAAGGGATTTTGTTTTATCTTTACCCTTTATTATGATGATTTCCTTTATTTACTGTAAGTTGGTTTAATATCCTTACAAGAACTTTTACGCTCCGGAAACAGGTTGGTGCTCTTCTATGAAGTTGTGCTAATTCGATTGACATTGTGCATGAACAGATTGGAGTGTGCAAGCAACTGTTAGCTGGATACTGTCTGAATTCTTTGGAAGTCAGAATGTATCCATTATTGCTGAAGAAGATGTACAAACTCTCTCTCAGGCTGACTCAGCAGGTTTGCTGGAAGCTGTTGTGAACACTGTTAATGAATGCTTAGCTGGAGCCCCCAAATATGGTCTTAAAAGTCCACCAAAATCCCTCAACACCTCTCAAGTTCTTGAGGCTATCAGCCGATGCAACTCAGTGGGAGGCCCCAAAGGAAAACATTGGGTACTTGATCCTGTTGACGGAACACTAGGGTTTGTGCGTGGGGATCAATACGCTGTAGCTTTAGCATTGATTGAGGATGGAAAAGTTGTTATTGGAGTACTTGGGTGCCCTAATTACCCAATGAATAAAGAATTGCTCAGTTATCATTATCAGTACCATGAAGCCATGTCAAAGTTGTCTCCCCCTTCTGAGGATACGTGGGAAAGAGGTTGTGTGATGTATGCGAGGAGAGGCAGTGGTAAAGCATGGATGCAGCCACCAATCCGTGGGGATAAGAAGTTTGTGTGGCCAAATTCTGCAAGACTTATTCAGGTTTCTTCCATTGATGACCCCACGCTGGCTACTTGTTGTGAACCTGTCGAGAGAGCAAATTCAGACCACTCCTTCACAGCAGGACTTGCTCACAGCGTAGGGCTTAGGTACATTTATTTACTTATGTATTTCTATGCACCCACTTGGATGGTCGTTGTTCTAACAAATGAAACCAGGACTTAATGAAAAAGGTGGAAGAGTAATGGGAGGAGAAAACTGCAAACAGAAGAGTGAAATGAGTTATCAAGTATAGGAGCACTTCCCTTTTCTAGTTTCTTTTTAATTACATATAAGAGGTATAATAAAGAGATATTTCCAGGTTGACGACATTTCATTATAAAAACCTAGCATACTGTTTTAATGATATGAGTGATTTTTATCACAAGTATTGCCTAGGTTGTTGTCCTGCTGTTGTTTGTTTCTTCTGTTTCATGGTCCTATTTTCAAGTTCTGAGAAATTAGATAGGGAGTAAGAGATTATAAGAACAAGTATATGTACTGCCTGTTATTTGGAATTTTTTAATAGTTATCTTGCTTTTCTTTGAGGCAATTGCTTAATGATATGTTTTTTTAAGTACAAGGCATTGTGATTGATGGTCAATTAAGATTAAAAATGAGTTACTGGAAATCCTAATTTTAATTCCTTTTCGTTGTTATCAATGGTACCTTCTCCGTTCAGTTTCTTATCTTTCTCTGGTTGGTAAATGATGTGAATCTCAAAGCCACCTTGCCACCTTGCACGTCTTTTTTACTGGGGTAGGAAGATACTGGCAACTATAGTTTTACTTGTGCTCTAATTTGATATTTTCCTTTCATATCATAAGGTAGAAATCAGCCCCTGCGTGTCTATAGCATGGTGAAATATGCAGCCATAGCTCGAGGAGATGCTGAGCTATTCATGAAGTTTGCAAGGACTGGATACAAGGAGAAGATATGGGATCATGCTGCTGGTCTTGTCATTGTAGAAGAGGCCGGAGGTGTGGTAACTGATGCTGGAGGGCGTCCCCTGGACTTCTCAAAGGGACCGTACTTAGAGGAACTTGACAGGGGCATAGTTGTTTGTTCTGGGGCCACACTACATGAGAAAATCATTGATGCCGTGTATGCCAGCTGGGACTCTTCTAATTTATGAGGCTTTTCTGTTCCATGCCAATGGACCACAGTGGCAGTAAATTTTGCAATTTTGTTGAGGTAAGGTCATCTAGTAGTATTTTTTTTACATTGCAAAAGAACTTCATCACAGCTTTATCCACCTTCCAATATAACTTACTGAGTCGTCGGATGAAGTATTTCTACCCTGTTTGCTTGATGGATGGAAACAGAAGGAAGTGAATAATTCCAGACCTCTTTTAACAAATGTAGTGGGAGTCTTAGAAAACTTATGAATGCGAGAACTCCGTTTTGTTTCTACTTATCCATCACATGAGAGAATCTTGCCAAATTAGGTTCATTCATCTCATTTCCATCTCTCACGTATTTTAACACCCTCGAATTTTCCAATATTTCTCTATTCTTAATAAACTTGAGACTCAAATCTTCTGCTTCAGATGTCATGTACCTTTTCTCCCCAGTTGGACAGTTATTTGACAGGGCTAACTTAATAAATAGTTGTTTGCAATTGCTGGAACTCAAACGTCCCAACAGTTTGGATATCAAAGAGGAAGCCTTGTAATTTGAAAACGGTTCAGTATGGTAAACTTGGCTGCACTGCACACACTCACTAACCTGGTTTCTCGTTTGTATCCTTTACTGAGCTTTGTGCAAAGAAATATTTACGCATCTTTGAACTATTTCAGGGCAAGCGATTTGCAGAGAAGGATTTGTGATAACATTCATATGCTATCGCCAAGGTTAAGTTTATAGAAGGTAGTATTTCGTCTGGTGACATGTTCAACTGAGTTCAAAATGGCACTGTTATACTGCTCTACTCAATAGTGAAATATTTATCAGTAAGATCTTCAAAGTAAATATTATGCAATTGCAGTTGCGTTTCAAGATTTCTCCGGTGTTTATGGATCACTATTCAAAAATCAGGTGATGACCATTTTCTTATGGCATTACCTTCTACCGATGTTTAAGCAACAATTTTGCTTATCCGATGAACCCGAGAGGTCTTTGTTCATATTTAGTCAACGTAGTTGTTCGGATCACCTAAACTATGACATCTCCGAGTCGGATTTTCTTAAACTAGTAATATAAGTTGAATATCAGTTAGCTAGCCTCTTCTGTTTATCCTTGGTGGAACAAGAATTAGAAGACAGGCACCCTCCAGAATTCATTGAATGCTGTAACTGGATGCTCATGCTTGCTAATGGGTCCTCTGGGGGGGGGTTCCTTGTTTTATTTGTTGGGCCGTTGCCAAAGAAACAAGTCTTTTTCCGCTACTCAGCATGGAACTTTATGTGTTTTTTTTTTTGAACAAACGGTATTATCTACATTAAGGGAAAATGAGTGAGTTAAGTCTCACAATAGGCTGGCAATACTGTGGTTCAAATTTGCTTTTGGCGAGAAACCTCTCACTTACAAATGAAGAGAAATATCATTGGATCGTAGTAGTGGCAGCATGAAACTAATATGTTAGTCCAAAACATAATCATGGAACTATTTTCCTTTACTTCCTTTGCAATTTATTTGTCACCCTTATCACAATACTAATGGAAAATTGGGAAAGGTATACTATAAATTAATTGGAAGGGGTTTTTTTTTTTCCTTTCCATACAAGCATATGTTACTTTCAACTAATTTAAATTATGGAGAGCAAAGCTATAAACTAGGTGCATAGCGGGAGCATGTCCGCTCTAGCCAATGTGATGGAATCGAATAATTGACCATTAGTACATCGTTAGTCATTCTTAAGCACTTGAGTTAAAATTCACTTACCCATTAACTTAAGTTTTGGTGCAATGCTATTTTATACTAAGGGGTAATGGATTTGAGCTAACATGCGACGCAACAAAGTCCGTCACATTGTTTGCCGATCTTAACCAATTAACTTACCCATTAACTTAACCAATTCGCACATCTCCGCGCCAACATGCGACACAACAAAGTCTATCACATTGTTTGCCGATCTTGGGATCCAAGACCAAACACATGCGTGGAAGGCACCCTCCAGCTGTCGTATCTTGCACACCGTTGGGAACACATCCCAGCTACATTTCTCAAAACATCCATTCACCCATGAAATTACTTATTTGGAATCCGATTCCACAATTACATTTGAAATCCCCGAAGTTGAGCAAGCAAACACCCTTCCAAAATACCAAGAGCTTCGACCGCTCCAATGCTCGGGGCTTTAATTGCTCTTCTTCGAACAACCAGGCAACAAGAATCAGAGTCCTACACTACTAGCCCAACATGACCTTGATTACTGGACGTTCGCCAGCTTGCATCCACGTTGATCTTAATAGAGTCTTACGGAAGAGGATACCAAAAAACATTAGGAGAAAAGCCAACCTGCCCCCAGGCAATTCCCCCTGATCTCACAACACGAGCATTGAAGAGCGACGTGGTAGTAGCAGAAATTGTGAGCAAAGTTTGGTGGAGAGATGGCAATTTGTGGTTTAAAATAGTGTTGCACCGTTCCAGAAAGTGAATGCAATCAAAGCCATGGAGTGCATCCGGTCCTCCCTACTCCCAGAGACCCATTCGTACATGTGCAGCAGCCAAACATGGAATGGGGTTACAGAATCTCGAGTGACACGATAACCTAAAGGACCCCTAAAACCAGACATGTTCAAACCACGACATATTAATAAGGCACGTTCAATCGATTCCTCATGGAGATAACAAAAAAGGCAGAGATAAGATGAACCACATTATCTGTGAAAGAGCTCAAGCTTTGTGGCAGTTGCTCAATTCAGAACCTGTAAGAGAAAATGTTTTATCTTTGGGGGGACATCAACATACCAAATAGCTTTCCACACCAAGGGATTGATAAGCATAGATGATGACGGTCGTTGTTACCGGGTCTGGCATGTCTGACTATGAATCCAATGGTATTCGGATTCAACCGTATCCTGCCCTCGCTGATCCGCCGGCCAGATAAGCCCATCCCTCCTAGCACCATCCCTGATAGGAGTATCACTGATTAATCACCCTCTGACATAGCACCATTAATGGAGTTGATCTACCAACAACGAGAGTTCAGACAAATGATGGAAGAGACCAGTTGTTTACAGTCATTATTTGCGCCCAATCGGGCGGTTGGGTGGCCTAGGGTAAATGAAAGGATCCATCGATCCACCCACGACATCGTTTAGTCCCCCACTCATAATCTGCCAATGAGATCCTGCGTCAATAACCTCTCTTCTTGCCAAGAGACTAGCCCAAGCCTAAGATGCCCGACTTCCACGCTTTGCCTCCAAGAATGAGCAATTAGGAAAATATCTTCCCTTGAGCACTTGAGCCCAATGCGAGTTGGGCTCATTGATAAGTCTCCAACATTGCTTACTCAGAGTGGTCAAATTAAATTCACCAAGGTTCCTAAAACCCAAGCCACTATCCCGTTTACCCACTCCCAAATTCTCCTAGTTCACCCAATGGATCTTCCGCTCCTCTTCTTTTTGGCCCAACCAGAACTGTGCCACGGCAAAGTCAATCTCCCGACAAAGAGTATCTGGAAATCTGAAAATGTTCGTAAGGTATGCCGGGATGGCTTGTACAATTGCTTTGATAAGAACTTCACGCCCTGCTATGTGAGAAAAATGTTTGCTTCCAACCCTGGATCTTTGCCAATACACGTTCCTTAATGAAGGCAAGCACTGCTAGTTTGGAGTGTGTTTGGGTTAATATTTGAACTTTGGACTGAAGGAAGAGAAGCCCAAAAAATGAGCCCAGAAGGCATGGTTCTGCCCGAAGACCCATCATCAAACCCATTCGCCTAGCCCAAGGCAAAATGATGATTCCACATTAAATGCAAAGGCTAGTAGCTTGAAAGAAGTGACACTTGATGAAAATTAGCCTACTCTCAGCCCAAAAGCATTTTCTGGATGACAGAGTACGTAAATTGCTGATGAGTCACTACCCTCCAATTGTTTTCTAGCAAGAACCAAGCTGCAAGCAGTTAAGCTAACTCGCCTATAAAAAGAGGAAGAGGGCCTAGAGACATAGACACACAACCAATTAAACAAACAAATACACAAACTCTGCTTAAGCCAGATTTGCATACAGAGTTGTAGTCAGCCTCCAAAAGTCATCTTTTGTCTAGTTTAATAGCTCTGCTGCTCACCAGTAGTATCAATTCTCTTGTGTAACTTTATTTGTCATCCATTCTCCCTTGAAACCCTCAGATCACTGTAGTGGCAAAGAAAAGAAATGGTGAAAGGTCCAACCTTGCCCAACAAGGTTCAATCTTGCCCGGTTCCATTTGTTTTGTCTTTTAGTTAATAGATCTGGTGTTGTAATGAATTCCCTAGTATGTATTCAAATCATTTTAGGTCTTTCAATGATCCAAAGTTCAGTTTACTTTCAAATATGGTTTTAATTAAATGGTTTTACTATCTTAAGAGTGAATCCACTTAATGCCTTGATTAGATTTTGACCTCTGCCCTTTTATCATACAAGATACATAAAAGTCCTTGATCTCAAGGCATAGAAAAGAGTCTAATGTGGACTTAACCCATCCACGACAATCCTTTGATAATGAGAAGTTAGAGTAACTTGGGGTGCAAGTAATCGGCTTAAATTTACTTATTTTACATCTGCCATACTGAGATGGCAGTGGCACGCCTCAACACTTAAGTTAGTTTTGACTGCGAGCCTTACGACCTATACTTAAGGCCCGACAAAGACACTTTTCAAAATTAACTCTGTCCTTTTCTTGCAGCCCGACGAACAAAGCGAGAACCTAACAGTCAACTAAAGTGTCAACTCCGCGGGGAGCTGTGTGCTCGAGCCAGGAACGCCCACATGCGACATTCTTGCCTGAACATAGTTTTGGCACGCCTGGTGGGATCAAATCTTGTATGCCAAGGAGGCGAAGGAAGGAACAAACCTTTAGGTAGGGAGCAAAACATAAATCACCCCCATTACACACCAAGATCCCGTATGATAAATCTCCCCGAAGACTTGCAAGGACATGTCTTAACGGAAAGCCCGACTTCTTCTGAGAAGTCAAAAGGAAAAGTTACAAAAGAACATCTACAGACTACCCTGATGGCTACCTTGAAAAGCCTGGAGAAGAGTTATCTAAATATGGAGAGAAACTTTAGGGGAGCTAAAGAAGAAATTGACAAAAGCTGTTCCATGAATCCGCAAAAAAGGTCAAATCTGGAGCACTCTACTCCAGAAGATGATAATGTTGGAAGGGTAGCAAACCAGTTTAGCCCTACGAAGGAACCAGTTGTTTCCTTATTCCCTTTACTAAAAGAAGAAGGGGATAAGGAAAAGAACGAGGAAGAAACCGGAGCCGGCCAGTTAGCTTTGAATACGATCAAGAAGCCCAAGTTGTCTGACCCCTTGTCGTTCTCATTGAATAACATGGGGCAGTACGAGCTAGAAATAATGCAAACATTGGGAGAATCTCAAACTAATGCAGTAATAGGCGTTGATCCTTTTCTACAAGCCCTCTTAAACATGATCAATTTAACGTGGGCAGAGAAAGGGAAAGAAAAAGCTACCGAGGAAGTAAGAAGATAACAAATTGATAGGCCGACGGAAGAAGCTATCAAGTTGCTTGAAAAGCCTAAGGAAGCAATAATCAAAGGGGTGGTTTTGTGCAATAAATGTCAATGTGAGTGCGAGCTTGAAGTACCAGTTGCATGAGCCATCCTCGATCAGGAATTGATTAAGAGGAGAGGAAAAGAAGAGCAGGAATCCCACAGAGATATCACGCGGGCAGTAAAAAAGGAAACCTCTCGGAGCGTCTTTCAGAGGTTGGGAGGAGACTCTCAACCAAAGAACTTGTTAGAAGTATTCAGAAACTATGAAGCTTCAGAAGAAGTAGAGGACAAGAAGGTCGAGACACTAAGGTGGGTAGACGTAAGGCCACCTCAAC